AACGAAAAGACCATAAACCAAGCAAATAATTCGTTATTTTTCTCAATCTTCAAACATTTGCTTATCAGCAGTTCACTGCTTCCAAAGTGTAAACAATAATAGTTGAAGTTTGATGTATTAATTAGTATCAATTAGAGACTCAGCCAAAGGATCGATCGCTTCAGTTTAGCATTACACAACAATGATATCTTCGAATTTTGTTCATTTTTTTGAATGGTCTATTTGCCAGAACCACGTTACTGCATTAAGAGATCAGTGAAATTTGGAAGGAATTGTAATTACACAGCTCTGATCACTGATCATGTAGCAACTGGGTAATGTTTGCTCAAGCAAAAAACTTGGTACACACAGTAATCACGAGTGATGCGTTTATGCATCGCTCTCATCTCAAAAATGAAATGAAAAATTATTATGATGATTTCTGATCAGCAATTGCATCTCAAAGTAAACTCTATGATCAGACACTGCAAATGTGGAATATTAATAGGACGAACATGAACAGCTGCATGAAANTATAAATTCTCGCAACTCAACCATTCTGCCCCATTCACCCACTCAAGCTGCTATGAGCTTATCCAAGCAAGACATTAATTTGTTCCCATTCTTACTTCCTGATGCACACATTTCAAACGAATGTTGCTCGTGAACTAAGAGTAGGTTCATATTTCAGGCTAATTCCCAATCTTCATTTACGTTCGTTCGTAAATTCGAACTAAAAAGCTTTCTGAAATAAAACAACAGTTCAGTATCATGCTTCCGAGAGTTTCAATACTTGAAGCTTATCGTTGACTTTATTATTACTCCCGGCTTGTTGATTTTCTTGTCATATCTTCTCGGAATTCGCAGTTGTGCATTTTTAGAGAGCACAACGATGATCTCTGGTGATATTGTCGCCGATCTTAACGCTATCTCAGCGCCAAATCGTAAGTTTTCATGTCAGCTGTCAAGATCATCATCCTCGAGTGAACAAAACGGTTTCATTCACAAGACTGGTCCATCAAATTCACATGATTTCTTTAATGATGTGTCATTTAGTGCCTTCGAATCTCAGATTTGATCAATCTTCGAATTGCATTTTCAACTTTCATGGCTTCTTGAATAGTGTTATATTCAGGCGAATATTGTGTATGCGATATATTCAGGCAACTTGAATGCGAAATTCTGTTCCCATAAAACTCTGCCTGATGAACCCATTGCAATTATGTGGGAGCCAATTTCTAAAAATATTTTTTAACAACATTTTGATGGTTTATTTGGTTTGTGGGTTTTTTAACTCCTCGCGAATATGTTCTAGCGAGAAGAAGAACCAATTCGGAGCAGGTTTCGGTCACTCCATCAAGTGTACCCCAGCAACGACAACGGACAACTTCAATCACCGAGTTCTTAGGTCGACGTGGCTCGATTTCAGATGCTCTTAGGAAGCGCTATGAATCAAATTCGAGTATACCTTTCGATTGAATTATTGTTTTTTGCTGGCATATCCCATACTTCTTATTTCATGCCTCCATTCTTTTACTATTCAAGAAACTTTTTAGGATCCCACTTTCAGGTGGATCGAATCAGGAGCTTTGCGCTCGGCCACCTGATGCCTAACGAGCGAGTCTTCTCCCACAAAAAAGGTGATTTGCAATCACTGACTCGGTTATCTCGATTCGATGTTGTTCCATTGTA